CAAATGAGCTATAGTCTAAATTCCATGAAGGGAGTTATAGGGGACTATATTGGGGACTATTATAGGGTTATTACGGGGGATACTCGGAGTTTTGACTAGATCCCAAATGTTGAGCTCCAAGACTTAGCTGGACCAGAACACGAAAGTAGGGAAAAAGTGGCCCTTAAGCCCGTAAAAAGTTGTAAAAATGGTTATTCCACATACCTTGAGGGTGTTCCAATACCCTATAAGCCCTGGATTCTAAACTCGTGTCAGAGAACAAATAGATGCCTCGGGTAAGGTGCTGCCGCTGCACGCCGATCCCGCTTGCAACTTTGAAGAGGACAAGGCCTTTTGGGGGGGGGGGCTTGAACTTAGCGTTTGCGGTTTATTGAGGCTATATAGGGTGCTGCAAAATTTCCTCCATCCACAGTCCCACCCCACCAAAACTAGCTGCCCCCCTTTTGGTTCACCCTTTCTTAGGCTTGCTTCGGGCTACTCACAGCTGATCAAGGACGAAAAGGTAATATAGGGGGTGGGTTCAAAGAATCCATGATTGCTACAAGACAGTGGCAATTCTATAGTTGTATTTACATATACACGCATTTTCTTGCTGGAGCTTAAGGGAGAGTGGGGGAGTGAGTGGATCCCCATAATAATCCTTATCTAATCTATTTATATATATATATATCCCTACAACGGTACTTACATTCACTCCCCACTACCCCTTAAGCACCACTAGGTTATACCTAGAGTATCCAACGTACTGATAAAGCAGGGCTTTGTACCTAATCTTGTTGGTGTCTTACCTCCTTGCCAGCGTTCAAGGTTGCTCCAGGTAGTGATGCGATTTAAGGTTCAGGGTGTGGGCTATAGGGTTTGGGGGATAGGGTCCCTGAACCCTAAACTCTTAGGATTTGGGGTTTAAGGGAATAGCGTAAACAGCAGCAAAGGGAGCAAGGATGGATTGTCGTACGTATGCCCAAAACCGATTTTGGTTCCCCCAACGCCTAGAACAGGTACCTATAGCTGCTATAGCTATCGACTGACTCTCTTAATGGTAAAGGTTGGTGTAACTTGTTAATTCAAAGCAAGGTGTTCCTACACCCAAAGGGTCCATGTACCTATTTAGTATATACTCTAGGGCTAAAGGGGTTCCTACACAGGTACTTTGGGGTCCAAGTATATCCCATTCAGGTACATGGACCGTTCGGGACAGGGCATACCCTAAACCCCTTAAACCCTAAACCCCACGAAACCGTTTGTCTCATGGTCTGTGGGCTGAATCAAGGCTCTTGGTTTTGGGGTCTGAGCGAAGGCTCCGGGAGAGAGAGCAGCTCAATGGCTATCAGGGCTTCGTGATTTCGAGGTTAGGCTGAGCATTCTTAATCTTATTAAAGTATTATAAGTATTACTCATTCGTGTTATTCTTATTGAAGTATTATAAGTATTACGACTATTGCATAGTGTTATTCTTGATATTGTTACTGTTGTTACTACTGTGCTTTTGTGTGGGTGTAGAGGCCGCGCCCTAAACCCTAAACCCGCTTTGCGGCAGGTTGGCTAGGGCTCAGGGTGACTCGAGACATGAGGGTCCAGATCCCTCGATGCTTTGGAATTGCTTCATTTTGTGATTTCGGGGTGTAGGGTTTAGGGGTTTATGGGTTTTGGGTTTGGGGTTTAGCAGGTTCAGGGTTCAGAGCACCCCCCCCCATAGATGAAGAAGATTTACAGTACATTTCAGTGCCACTAGAAAACAACAGAGGCCGGAACCCTAAGACCCTAAACCCTTAAACCCTAAAACCTTAAACCCTAAGACACTAAACCCTAAAACCTTATGCCCCACCACCCAAGACCCTAAAGTCCAGGTGCTCGAATTGCGACGCTGGCTTGGTAATGTGGCCCTTTTCTTCAGCGAGTCAGCCGACAAGGCGAGACCACAGGGTTTGGGGTTTAGGGTTATAGGGCTTAGGGCTTAGGGTTATATTGTTTTAGGGTCGGTTTAGGGCTTAGGGTTTGGGTTATGGGGTTATAGGGTTTATAGGGTTTAGGGTTATAAGGTTTAGGCTTAATGGAGAATCAAAAGGAAAAGAACATGGAAAATGAAATGGAAACTGGGATCATATGGGGGTTGTGGGACTATGGGGTTGAGGTGATATGGTTTAGGGTTATAAGGTTCAGCTTTATAGGGGGGTTTTAGGGCTGAGGGTTAAGGGTTGAGGGTCATAGGGTTACAGGGTGTTAGGGTTTCAGGTTTTAGGCTTATTCATAGTCAGAACTGGATTTCGTTTTATAAGGAGACCTTAGTTGCCTCAAGCGCTATGATAAGGATCTTATAACTTAACTGTTTCATTCTCATTTCAGGGGTTGGGGTACCTGAAATCCGCTTACTGCTTTTTGAACATTCCGGTGATATACAAGGGATTACAGAGACTTTGGGTGACCATCAGGGGACAGACAGCCCACCTCTGCCCAACGAAGGCACGGCTTCAAAACAGCGCTGCCGACAGTTGTAGCAAAAGCTACAGTGAGAGCAGTCGTGAGAGCATTAGTTTGGGCCCCACGCGCCAGTAGTGATAACCGGACAGTACATTGTACTTGTGTTAGGGCCCTCACATATTATGGGTGGGAGCCTAACCTTAGTGATGCCAGTGGTATTTTCTGACCCCTGAACGGACCAGATACTCCCAGGGAGCTTGTTAGATGAGTCTACATGTTACATGAACTCCTAAGAAGGGCCCCGCATATGTTCACCTACATTTGCTGTATCTGTACAGTCGCCGATGTCATAGTCAACAGCCAAACCTTGCATGAATCCTGAACCCTGAGCCCCAAGCTCAAAGAATAGTCCCGCTTGTAGTAGGTGCTGTGACAGCTAGGGCTCATACAGTGGCAACCATGACAAAGAAGACGACGAAGATCCCGCGTTAGGGTTTACGGAATAGTTTTCGGTTGGCTACACCCTGAACCCTAAACCCCAACGTAAACCCTAAGCCCTAAAACCCTTGAACCACTAGGCCCCTAAACCCAAAAAGCCCGAAACCCTCAAACCCCAAGCCCCTAAACACCTAAACCCCAAACAATAGCACCCAACTCGAGGCTCCAGTCTCCATGAGTCGGGTTTAGGGTTCCTGTGGTTTATGGTTCCTGGGGTTTAGGGTTTAGGGGAACCCCTCCAGGCAGGCAATATCCTGTGGTATCTACTGGGTGGATGGCACTACTGCTTCGTCTAGTGCTTCGTAATATCAACATCTAAACCCTAGACCCAAAACCCTAAACCCAAACCCTGTATTTCGCAATACCTTAGGTGGACGCCCCACCCAGTAATAATGACTTGTATTCCTTTTCTTGTGTGGGTGGGTCCACCTCAATTGCACAGGATAGTTTCCCAGAATAGGGGGACCCCCACATAGACCTAAAAACGCTTCAATGCCCTAAACCCTAAACCCTGACAGTGCCCCAAATCTTGGGAAACGCCCTACAGAGTCCAGGGATCATCACGGCCCTTGCTGGAGCTTTGGCGCTGCGAAAGAGGCCGGTCTTGGAGAAACGCCTGAGCTCATTCTCAGATACTAAGGGGTTTAGGTTTACCAGGGGTTCGGGGCATGGGTTGAGTAATACACCCGTCCTGATACTGAAGCCCGCCCCTTTACAACGAATATTTCCTTGTGAAATATTCATGATTATGGAGTGTGGGTTTTCATTGTAAGGGGGAGGCAGTGAACCTTGACAAGCTCCGAATAGTATTTCCTTCCAGGCCATGTAGTACATATTCGGTGTGTGCATTTACATATATATATATACACACACGCATATACATATATATATATATACATATACACACGCACGCTATATGCGCACATGCTTGTCAGTTTTCTTGGGTCAACGCTACGTCTGCTTCTCAGTTTTCTTCGGTCAATGCTACGTAAAGACAGTATCCTATGCTTCCAGCCTGCCTCCATGCCCCAACCCAAGTAGCACAATCCCTGGATTTAGGGCGTTTGAGTGCTTATTACTTATGTTTCTGGGGAGTTAAGGACCCTGAGCCTTGAAGCGTTTGCAAACAAGGAGCTAGTGTTACCTTTTATACTGCCCCTGCTGAGGAACGAATGGGAAATCCTTAACAGAAATCACTTCCTCGCGATAACAACTTCCACCCCCCCATCGTAAATTCCCCGGAAGATGTAATGGTACCATATTGTGGTATTGTTAGGGGGCGGGGACTATGTCGTATGAACACATAAGGCCATCATATTAGCTTATGACGCTGTTGCTTGGTAGGGGCGATATCCAAGCAGTACGTTTTACCCCTGAACCCGAAAGCTCCACGTTCTGAATCATCAATCCCAAGAAATGCAAATTCATTGCAGAACTTCATTTATCCTGGTATGGGATTTGAGGCAGCGCTAGGGCATCACTTCAGCAACGCAATTGCAGAATGGCTGGGAGCGAAATGATTACAAAATAAGTGCCCTCGAAGCCCCTAATCCTTCAATCCATAGACCCAACAGCCCGAACCCCAAACAAACCCCACAAATATTGGATGGGTGCCTAGAACTAATAGAATGGCCTAGATTGCCCAACAAGGTGCTGCGTACAACGTGCTGCCTTTGTTGAGAGCCCTCGGTGGGCCATATGCTCTAAGCCCTAGAACCTGAACGCAACGCCCTGAACTCTGAACTGAACACTGAGCACACAAGCCTAAACCCTAAAGCTTCGGGCCCATGATAAAACGGAATTACATCTTTACAGGCTTTCCTCTGAACAGATAGAGGCACAAACAGGGAGGTCTCACGAGCTTGCTTGAAGCCAAATTTGTACGAGCCGAGTTGGAAGGGATGGAGGCTTCGTGTCGTGTCTGGCGCACGATATCCGTGCGAGGACCCCTCCAACAGTCTGTCTGTGAGTGGGTCATTGTGGCCAACGCTCAGGCCCAAGGCCTCCAGCAGTGTAGTGCGGCGGACCTCGTTTTGAATCCACGTCTTCATGACATGGTCATCTGCTTGGCTTCTCTGACGCAAGACTCGTTGATCGAGTTGTGGACAGCATCACAGCATCCATGCACTGCGTTTCCCGGACCGCGTCCTATCTCGGGCTGCTTGACTCCGCACGGCAAAGAACATACTGCCGTTTGATGATCAAGTTTGATGCAGGAGCTTCGTAGCACAGAAGTTAGAGCTGGATTTGATTGTAAAGTTGGGAGATTTGCAATCCGTGTTGGCCATTGGCAGTTGATTTTTGCTTTGCGTGCAATGTCCAAGCCGTTGGTGCCAATTTTACCTCTGGGCGTGGGTCTGGAATGGATGAGTGTTTCCGACACCTTTCGTGTGCAACTTGCACTAAATTAGAGGCCGGGTTTCCTCTTCTTCTTCGTCTGCCCAAAAATGTTGGGCAAAATGCCACAAAGGACTTTCTTAGATGGGTGTGCTCCCATTTATGTTTCAGAAAGAAGGAGGGGCTCCCGGGCTCCCTTTCCCTTCTTCTCTTGTGCTTCCTTCCAATGCAAAAACATGAAGGAACCATTGTTTGGAAGGATCCAACTTGCGTGAAACACAAAATACAAGTCCCGGGCTAGAGTGATCCATTTCTATATTGCAAAAGCTGAGTATTTAACACAATTATTCTCTTAGAATCCTTGTGTAAAGTCACTGCATTATACCCATAATATATGCCCAAGCCCTAGCCCTAAATCCTCGACAGTTATTTATTAGGCCCTGAGCACTGAGCACGGATCATCCCTATATGGCCCATATGTACTCTACACCATGCCTCTAAAAGCGGTAGTTACCCTAAACCAGTAACCCTACACCCTGAAACCTTAAACCCCGAGCCCTAGACCATAAACCCTCATTCTCAAGCCGGAACCAGGCTGGGCTCCCGAGTGATCTTGGCGCTCGGGCGGCGATGTCGGCGCTTGAAAAGTTTTGAGTTTAGGGTTTAGGGGGTTTGCTTTCGGATTGAGGGTTTTAGGGTTTAGGGTTTAGGGGGTTTCCCGAATTTAGGGCGCAGGCGCCCCTGGTCGCGCTTTTGCGTTGCCCCAGCCACTCACACTACATTATGTACTACATTCGACTAGGGTTTAACGCTTCCTGCGCGCATGCACGATGCATGACACCGTCCATATGCAGCATGCGCAGGACTCCAGTTTACAGGTGCACAGAAGGCGTTTGGGTACTCCCAGCCCTCTTCGGGCTGAGCAGTCTAGATTTGGCTCGCGCTTTTGTGAGACAGCTCAGCTATTGACAAACTACCTATGGCCTCTGGAGGTGGTTGTTGTTAAGCCGTGATCAGCATAAGGCCCCAATCCTGGCAACTGGGAGGCTGTACGGCCCGTTGAAATTTGTCGCATTTGTTCAAGTGCTAGTGTTGTTTACATGTGAGGATTTGTGCGTGCTTCCACTCGTATCGATTTACGCGGGGCTGCGCAGGTCTGCCTTGAGGTCGCGCCCGAAGGCTGCATGACGGCGCAACAAAGTTAGCGATTATTCATGTTTATTTTCAGACTCGGGACAGTCTGTCTACTTTCCAGGATGAGAGATGGTCTGGACATGTTTGGAACGCAATTGCCCGCGGTAGCTCGTCATTGCTTCGCCCCGTGCACAATTATCCCACGGCTTTCCGGCCCGCTAAAGCTTGCTTTTGCAATGCATGCCCTACAGCCATCGACCAGCCAGTGACCCCTTGCCTGTGTTCAATGCGCAAGCTACCTCTCTTTGAAACACGTATATGACTTAGGAGCGTGAAAGTTTCATGTGCGCATTGGAACTGTCCTTGTCTTGAACCCTTCGGAATGTTTGGTCACCATGCGCTCTCATAACCACCACTTCTGGAGATTGCCCAGTGCAACGTTTCGCAGCATGATGCTGTATGAGAAACTAGACAGTGGAAGTTTACTATTGCAAAGTAGGCGTGCAATGGACAAGCTAAGTGGATCGTGCCGGAAGCGCTATACCGATGCAGCAGCTTTGGAGCAAGCAGTTCGAGGAGGGCGACCAACGACGGGGGGAAGGTAATTGGGGAAGCTTGCGTTCGTTCCAGAATTTTCAGAAGCTGGATCATACAGAACAAGGCCTTCATCAAACAAGCTCACTTAGATTGGGAGCGAGGTTTAGAAAAAGATCGAGCGGGTCCGATGGCTCCCGCACATCATGCTATTGAGCAACCTACTCATCTTGTGCTACGGCCGCCGACCTCCATGCTCAAAAAACTCAGTTTGGAGGGCCCCACCAACAAGTCAACAACAGTTTGCCAGCAGAGCCTCTTTCATGTCAGCCCAACCAGCCATGAGGCCTGTCAAAAGTTCAGAGACCTGGAAAGGCTGAGACGCCAAGATATAATGAGTGAGTTCTTGTCAGAGACAGGCTGAGACGCCAAGATATAATGAGTGAGTTCTTGTCAGAGACCTAGCCCTGTTACACCCCCTCTAGGAAACTTTGGGATGTTTCGTCACTCGATGGCGGCTGAGGACAATTGGGGGGGGGTTCGTTATTTGGATATGGGGTTGGTGGTGGCTTATCCTGATATATCCAGACACTCAAATCTGAAGCGTATAGCCCTCAAGTTGAAATTTAGGCTTGGCTGGACCCTTCAAAATTTGTCGTTTTATTTGAAGCCCATAGGAGGAATCAAAGGAATTTTTGGCATAAATTTGCGAATACAATTCTTATAATGATTTCTGTATTTTCGAAATCTATCAAGAGAATCTATAGAATTCCTATGAAATCAGATCATATTTCTTTCTTTAAATCAAAATTCTCAACATATATATCCTTCGAGAATCTTAATTAGATTGAATATTCGAATCTCGAAATATTCTTCAGTATATGATTTATAATGAAATCTATTTGAGAGAAATATTCATTATAAATAATTATATTTTTTGATAGATTCGCTAAATTAATGCCCGGCAGATATTTTATCGAATTTTATATATAATTTTCTATAGATAATTTATTTCGGATCTTATATGGAAGATTACGTTTGAGATTTTGGCTCTTTCTTTTTTCTGATCGTTTTTTTTGCGGCAGGATTGGTTAGTTATTAATTACTCAATTATAGATAAAATATATATATCAGCAATACGTATAGATTAAGGATATCGTAGCTAGGATTTGAGCTAATGATCTTTGAATATTAGAATTGATTCGTTTTTTATGGCAACGGAAACTACCTATTTAAGAAAATCTATAATAGAAAATCTTTTAATTAAATAATCTATAAATTCTAAAAAGAAACCTGATAAATTATCCAGATTTTAAAGTCGTACGCGATATATAGATTCTGAAAGATTTTGGATCTCTTGCCCGGATTTCTTATTCTATTGAATCGCCATACATACAGCCAAAGAAAACGAAATTTTGAGAAATTGTTGATTATGAATTTTTGCTCGCGAAATCTCCTGACCCCCCCCCCCCGATTTTTTTGCTTCATTTATTTCTCTTGGATTATGAACGCAACGAATCGAGAGAGCGCGTTCATAAATCTCCGTGAATAGATACGAACAAACTATGAATTCTAAAAAAAAAATAGATTCTCCATCTCGAATCTACGCGCGCCTCCGAATAGCTATATCGATATTCAAAGAGAGATAAATCACGCGGATTCTATAAGATCGTATGGGAATATCGACGCTCGGGAGATTTCGGGTCGCGATGCCCCCGCATACAACCCAATTTTTCCGCCTCATTTCTCTTTGTATCGAAATCAGAAATCTCCAATCTTCCCATTCATCTGAGGAAAAAAGAATCACCAAAAGATTCGGCGTCCGTATTCCAATCGTGAAATCCCGCCTTCACCCGCCACGAATTAGACAGGAAAGAAGACGTTTTTTTTTTCCTCTTTCTTGACTTATTTGTGCGGCCGGGCGGGGAACCACATGCATCCCTATAGATAGATACGGACGATCTATAAAGATTAAATGATTCGATTTTTTTTGATAGATCTATTCGCTCCCCCGAATTCTCGTGCAGATAATCAAAGAGATAAATATATCACGCGGAAGTCCATTCCGAGGCGAAAGGTCGCACGACCAAAAATCTCCGAGATTTTTGGTCGCGCCGCCCGCTTCGAGATTTTAGAGTCTCTAGCTTTTCTGAAGGGCCTTAAAAGACCTCCGAGATTTTAGAACCTCTAGGGAGCTCGCAGGATACGTTTTAGAGGTGAGCCGGAAAGGCTAGGTCGCGCGCGGTCGAAATGGAGGTAACTGACCGCGCCGCAATATTGAGATATTCTGGAGTTTTGGAAGCAAAGAGAGATCGAATATTGATTTCGTTTCGCTATATCGAGTTGTCGATGATAATATGCAGCGAAGTACGGGAGGCATTTATCAGATATTGAAATAATATATTTCCTTATATTTCAGAGATATACGCAATATATATCTTTTTTTATAACGAATTCAGGATAGAAATAAAGTCCCGCCGGAAATCTATGATCGTTCTGATTAATTTCTATCTACGTATATAGAAGGAAGATGATCATGAATTTCATGATAGGACCCCACGTATAGGAAATGATGATTCCAAATCTGAGAGGCTAGAAATTTCAACATAGATAATTAGATAGGATAGATTTTCTCATTTTCTCTTCACTTCTTCATTTCGTTTGAGGGTTCCCTTCTATATTCGGCGTATTCTTTTTCGTCTAATTCGTGGCGGAGCGATTTTCCAATTGGAAGGAAGATATTGATATTTCTTATGATATTTGATCTTTCAAATGATCGTGGATCGATCTGATTAGATTTATCTTTTGAATTCTTGAGAAACGAGAATTCTTTTTTCTCTCCGAAATCGATTAAGAATCTTCGTCAGATTTTTTCAATCTTTCAATATTATAATTTCAAATAGAAAATTCTTCATTCTATTCTGAGAATAATAAATCTACTAATTAGAAGAGATATGAAGATCATATCGGGGATGAAAGAATTTCTATAATAATAATAAATTTATATAGATTGCAAGATTTGAGATCATGAAGATTATTATCTCATAAATTCATGATTTATGAATCTTATAAATGATATATTAATTAAATCGAAGATTTGCAGGATTTTAAATTCTATCTTCTTTATATAAAGAGAATTATAGATAATCTATTATATTTAATATTACGATATTAGATCTATGATTATATCTGCGAATTCTAAGAATATTCTTCTTCTCAATTGAAATATAGATAATAGGAATCTTTTATATATATATATATAATCTTCTCAAATAAGATTCATCATTTCTAGCAACGAATGATAAGATTTATTTGAATTTTCTAGAGGGATATCATCAAATATATTATTCAAAATACGAGACCGAGAATTCATTAAAAATCTTCGTATTTCAAATACGATATTATCGCTACTATGAAAATACAGAAAATTGCTTTTCGAATATATTATGATATGAATTATTTTAGATAATATACTAAAGAAAATATCGATAATTTTCTTGTATTTATTTCGTCGATTGATTTCGATTAATATAAGAATCTCCAGAAGAATTTACGATGATTTCAGAATCTTTCAAATAAGATATTGATCGCAAATTATATTCAAGATATTTAAGAAGATCGTTATATTGAATTCAATTTGAGAAAGAAATTTATAATCTTCGAAAATATAGAAGATTCTAATTTCTCAGATCTTTGAGTAATTCGGAAACCGTAATAACAATCGAATCTATATGTCTCGATATATATAATTTCTAATCGATCAAATCAATGATCTTTCGATTTTATTATTTATATAATTTTGATATTCTCCGGATTGTATTCCGTCTAGCAACATTGCCTTATATCCTCATTTCAAATTAATCATCATCTCTTTCTTTTAATATTTCTTTAATTCGGAGATTTTGATTTGTTTTTAATTTTCCGAATTTTCCTATTTCTTGAT